GACTTTTCCAGCTGGGCTAGTTCACCCTCATAGATGCTCGCAGAGATCTCTGTTGCCGCCCCCACCCCAGCCTTGAGCACAGGTCTAACTATCCAGACTGTTATGTCCCAGGGATGACATATGTTGGCCATTCTCGTGCTCCTAGCACCAAGCACACGTATGTTTTGAGTGAATAAGTCATGACTGTCAAGTCCATCTCTCAAGTTCAGTTGTCTCCTCTGAACTTCTAGTCCATGGATCTTATTGTCTGCTAACAACTCCATCCTTCTAATCGCTCATACCCCAAACCTAGGCAGCGTCAACCACTTCTCTTTCTTCTCCTCTCCTGGTACATAAGCCAGCGAATTCTATCATATCTGCCTTCAAGAGATGTGTGTCTCCTGATGGAAGAACATCACCAACACAAACGTCATGCTGGCTACTTTCCAGACTGAAAAACTACAAGACAAACAACTCAATTTTTTCAAAAGTAAGGGGGTAAAATGAGAGAGAGAGAGAGAGTGGGGTGGGGGTGGGGAAGGGAGAGGGGATACAGAGTTTATCAGTAGCTTATAGCTATAACCTTATTTGAATTCTGATTCAAACTACAATTATGAATCACTCAGCTATTTGAACTGATGGGTCTTAATTCATTTTTTTTCAGGTGGATATTTGCACTATAGCTATATTAAATTGCATACTAAAATATTTACAACAGAAATGGTATGCTACCTGGGCTGTGCTACAAATAATATGATAGAGAGAGGAAGTTGGCAAGGGTATAGATAAAACAAGTTTGTTGTAATTTATTGAGAGATGAAAATGACCACATTAGGCTCACTATACTATTCTAGATTTTTAAGGCTGGCCTTTGTTTTCCTTATTAAGACATTAAAAAACATCCAGAATGTGATCTGATCTTAGTACTTCCATTCCTCTCTGGCCTCTGCCTCAAACCCACTGTCATCTTTCACCAAGACTACTGCCAGAACCTCTCATCTTCTCTCCCTGCTTCCACCCTGCGGTCTGTTCACTCTGCTGCAGTGAAAGAGAGCCTTCTCAACACCGAGGCCATTTCTCTCCTCTGCTGAAAGCCCCGAGAAGGCTTTCCATCTCTCTGGTCTCTTCTCCAACCACTCAGCCCTCCATCTGCTCCCAGCATCCTCCTATTAGGACCCAGGTCCACACAAGCTGGCAAGGCCCTCCAGGCCCTGGGGACACATACTCTGCCTGCCTAACTAAGCTCACTATCAGAAGCATCACCCTGGCAGGGCAATCCACAAGCAACAGTGTTTGACGTTCCTTTTGTGTTTGCCATTCCACTATGACAGTCACCTCTCCTGAAGCCAGAGGCGCCACCTCTCTGATTGTGGTTCTGAGCCTCCAGGAAGGTCTGATGTGCTCAGGGCTTGCCAGTCTCTTTTACAATCATCTATTCCCTCATTAGTCTCCTTTTGTCCTATGTTCCTTGAGGACAAAGGTTTTGCACTCAATAGCAATCAAAACCAAACCAAACCTACCAACAAACTCACTGACTCATAGCAACCCTGCAAGGCAGAGCTGAACTGCCCTGGTGGGTGTCTGAGTCTGTAACTCTGGGAGTAGAAGGCCTCTTCTTTCTCCTGAGAATCAGCTAGTGGTTTGAAACTGCTGACCTTGGGGTTAGCAGCCCAATCTGTAACCCGCCTTACCTACAGGACTCCTATCAATAGCACTAGTATTGGCAAAGTGACAGCCATTTGAAATTTATGTTTTAAATAAATGAAAGGCCAATGCAAGTAAGTGTTGTTACATTTTAAAAATCTCTCTGCCTGGTGGGGTTCAATTAAGGGCAATGTAGCTGAGAGGAATTACAGAGAGCCGAATGAAGGTCAAACATGATAGTGGGAAAGGAGGAAAGTAAAAGGAAATAGAGGAAATAACTAGGAGACAAAAGACATTTATAGAGGTCTGAATATAGGCATGTACATATATAAATATATTAATATATAATGATAGGGATATAGGCCTATGTACATCTATTCATATGTTAAGTATCAAGGAAGCAGACAGACACTGGGCCTGTACTCAAGTCCTCCCTCAACACAAGAACACTTTGTTCTAATAACCTGACATTTTGTGATGCTCACCTTCCCAACATAATTGCTGAAGACAAAATGGGTGCATAAGCAAATGTGGTGAAGAAAGCTGATGGTGCCCAGATATTAAAAGACATAGCATCTGGGGTCTTCAAGGCTTGAAGTTCAACAAGCAGCCATCTAGCAGGGAAGAAACAAAACCCACATGGAAGAAGCACACCAGCCTGTGTGATCACAAGGTGTCGATGGGATCAGATCGACATCTTCAGGCATCAGAAGACCCCAAACAGTCATGTCAATCTGAATGAGTGGGGTCCGAGTGGAGAACCAAAGCCCATTTGTAGATAAATGGACATACCCTCACAGGAGGGTCACAAGGAAGGGTCAGTATAGCACCGAGGAAACACACAGCATTCTTCTAGTTCTTTAATGCTTCCTCGCCCCCACTATCATGACCCCAGTTCTACCTTAAAAATCTGGCTAGACCAGAACATGTACACTGGTACAGATGAGAGCTCTTGACACATGGAATCCAGGACAGATAAGCCCCCCAGGAACAGTAATGGGAGTAGTGATACTATGAAGGTAGGGGGAAGGTGGGGGAGAAGGGGGAGAGAGGGGGAACTGATCATAAGGGGGATGACAACAGAAACATGGGTGAAGGGAGACAGTGGACAGTGTAAGATATGAAAACAATAATTTATCAATGGTTCACAAGGGTGGGAGGGTAGAGGAGGGAGAGGAAAAAAAGAGCTGATAGCAAGGGCTCAAGTAGAAAGAAAATGTTTTGAAAATGGTGATGGCAACATATGTACAAATGTGCTTGACACAATGAATGGATGTATGTATGGATTGTGATAAGAGATGTACGAGCCCTCAATAAAATGATTTTAAAAAGAGCTGGAAGAATCCCCAAACCCATTATTGAAAAATAAATCTCTCTGTACAAAAACCTATTGTAACAGGAATAAAATACCCTCATCACACAGCAGTCAACAATCTCAAAAACAGTGTGGGAGCGAATATTTTGGTTTCTCAACATTTAAAATAAATAGTATGATTTTATGTCTTAGACTTCAGCAATGCAATGATGATAAAAGATGTAAGCGTTTTTTTTTTTACTACAATCAGTTCTCCCATTATCTATATTTGGAGTGGACATTTTTATCAATTGCACATCAGGCCAACTTACCTGCTCTCTGACCCTGTGGCTTAAAGAACTGAGGTCAGGAAGCTGTCCCTGCGAGATGATTGGTCAGGATTTGGGGCAAGGAAAGGTCAAGTTCTCAGCTATGGAGGGAACCAAAGTGGAAGAACTGCTGCCCCTGCAGAGGGGACCTAAAAGAGCCGGAAGGAGCAGAGCCAGCCAATCAAGTGGAGATGAGAAGTGGGGGCAACAGACAGCAAAGACCTCAAGTAACTGAAAGATCAGGTATGTACAAGATTGCTTTATCCGTAATTGTTAGGCTTTTAGCGAATTGCTAGAAATTGTTTTCATGTTAAGATGTGCTAGGCAATTAAGTTAGTTTTACCAGGTACTGTTACTAGTTTCCAACTAATGACAACACACTGACAATCATCCCAGGTGAAGAGTGGGACCGCTCCATACTGGTTTCAAGACAGGCTTCCTTTGTAGGAAGATGGCAGGGCAGTATCACAAAGCGCCTCGTTGGTGTGTTTGAGTGGGTTTGAACCATCAACGTTTTGGCTGAGTGCTTAGCCATTCAAGCCACCCAGGGACCCAGCATATAATCATTACAGATGTGTGGTGGACTTGCTTTGGGTTGCCCTGCAAGTACCAAATTGATGCTACTGACTTGACTCAGAAACCTGAGTTCTTTGCTGTACTGGCTCAGACTGTGCTGCCGAGCGCAGCCACTGGCCCTCCCTTTCAACGACTCATCGACTCATCTCATTAAAACACAAGATCCCAAAATGCCAGAGAAGGAGAGAGAATGGAACAGACTTTCATATGTGGGAAATGACCAGCTTAGAATGGCATTAAATTATGTTGCTCCATGTCCTAAAAAAGAAAAGTGCATAGACTCTTACAAAAGGGTACGATCCCAAGACAGGTGAGCCTCATGCCTTAAGTAGCTGGACGTCAGTAAGAGAAGCAGATAAAGCTGAGCCTCCACAGCCAGCCCGTCAAGCCCCCTCTAACTCTTGGCAATTCCATGTATGTTAGAGTAGAACTGAGTGCTCCATGTTTTTTAGTGACTTTTTCCCCCCTTTAATCTGAAGTAGATCACCAGGCCTTTCTCCCGAGTTTTGAACTTCCAGACTCCTGGTTAACTGTGGAGGGCTCCCCTGTTTGCGCTACTCAGAAGCTCTGGAGATGAATCTAACACTCCCCTCTCCCCTGCCAGCTCTGCACCCATAGTGTATCCACTACCATCTTACAGCTGCACTGCCTGGCCCCATCTCTTGCTTCACTCTTTTGTCAATTACGTCAAGCATTTTTCTCCGAAGTGTCAAGAAGAAACCCCAAACCCCGGCTCTGAGCCCAAGTGGACCAGGGTTGGAATCCTGGCTGTGGGATGGTACCAGCCACCGTGAAATGATGGTAATATCTACGGCACTGGGGGAGGGGAGACCAGAAGAACTTGGCCAAATGCCTGTCATTCAGTGCCTGGGATTTGTTTCCTGGAGACGAGCACAGCAACTATTCCCAGGCAGCTTTTGCTCTTCGATGTACCAGTATGAGATCAGGCTTATCTAAAGCCCTAAATTATAGGAAGACTTCCACTCACTTTTTATTCTCTGTAAGTTCTATTCCATTTGAGCATCTAAGTGGGTACCATGGAAGGCAAAGTAACAAGGCCACAGAAAATATAGTGAATGAGGAATTTGTGAGACAAAGTCGAGACTCATAGAGATGAAGTAGCTGCTTGGCTGCACAAAAGGATTAACAATGAAACATTTGAAAAAAGAGGCTTCACATAGGAATAAGCTATTTTAATCAAGCAAAAAACAAATTTATATTATTTCTAAAAATAAAATTAGACTTTTCCAATCATTAACATCTGCATTTCATATCTGCTAACCAAAATACAGATGCTAAAACAGCAGATTACAATATATCTTATACAGCATACCGTATGTTCACTGATTACACTTACTGGAATTCTAGTTGGTTGTTATGTACTCAATGCATACTTAAACATCACTCATAATAAAATTTTCCACAATTAACAAACAAAAATGTGACAAGCTTGTCTTCAAATGGCTCTGCTATAAATTGTATAGAATATACAGAATTACAAAGTCAAGTTTTTTTTATCAAAATATACACCCTCCCTGAAACTAACACAAGCTATCAACATTTTAAACGAATAATACCATTATAGAAAATATTTGAAAAATTATTTTTTATGTATAAATATTCTGCCATATTTACTTTGGTCTAGAATTATCAGCATACAAGTCCACTTAGAAAATATCCACGTGTAAGGGTTGGGAGACATTACGATGTGTAATCATTTTATATTCTGAATTACCTCAAATCAAAATGGCTAAGATACAAAGTCATTCCCTTTGATTCATAATCCTAATTCAGATGAAACAAATTAGTGAATCACAGGATTGCTTATTCAATATTTTATTCTCAATTCAAAAATGATATTCAGAAGCCCTTTGTGACTCTCTTTAACAGAAGCCAAGTGAAAAGTGCAGGCATACATATATGGAACCCTAAACCCCAGGCCGGGAAGCCTGCTCCCATTTGCCTCAACCCAAGGACGGAGTAGAACTGTGCCGTGGGTTTCCAGGGCTGTCAAATCGTTACCAGAGCAGACACCACCTCTTTCTCCACTGGGGCGGCGGATGGGCTTGCACTACCGACCTTGAGGTTAGCAGCGGAGGGCTTACCCACTGCGCCTCCAGGGCGCCTCAATACATACACATAGCAGAGAGAATAAAGTTGAGTTCACTTGCATTTCCCCATTTTCCTCTACTATGTAATACTGTATGTAAGTGAAAAGTGGAAGTAGATGAACAAAAGATAAATGCAGATACAGTACTGGGGCTACTTAACAGCAAAGCACTACAGTAAGAAAGGTCAGCTTTGATCATGTCCTCGTCTGGGTGCTTGGCCACTCAAGTCCACACCAAGTTCTTCCTCATGGGGCCCTCGCCACTTGGAGAGGGAAACCAGAGGCCTTGAAGCCGCTTCTTCATAATGATTGCTCACAACTTTGGGCCACCTTGGGTTTCCGTATAGGGATTTGCCAATGAGTATGAGTGGCTTTGTGTCACCCGTAAGCAGGGTCCCAGGTTTTATTCACACTGGTGATCAGAGGCTGGGAATGTTCTCTCTTCTGCCTATTCTGGCCGCTAGAAAAGAACAAGGTGCTCGAGTTCCTCAGGAAAGTATATGATTTTGAGGACAATGCTGATGATGTGGGTCAGTGTAAAGGAACATTAAAAAAGCACAAGGGACTTTTCAGCAAGGGGGCTAGACGTCTGCAAATAGGAAGACCAGACAAGGCATCTGGCTTTGTGAGTGTACTTCTGAGTCATATAAGGAAGGGATAGAACCTTGTCATATCCTGCCTTCCCACGTGCGCCAAACAAAGCTCCTCTTTGAGGCAGGGAGGCACCCCACTTCCTCCTGCCTGCTCAAGTAAGAAATCCGAGGCTTTGTCTGTTGTCCCTTTGACTTGTACTAATATGTACTTGTGGGCTGCACAAGCCCCAAGGAGGCTAATGATTGGAGGGAGTAGGCTTACTGCTGCTTTCAAGTGCCTGGGACCTCAGCACCACATCCACATCCTATAATAAACATCCCGGGACCTCCATCAATGGGACCAGAGGCATCAGGGTTTATCTGAAGCCTGCCTGGAGCACACCCAAATGTCCTGGCCTTGTGATGACTGGAAGACTGTAGAGAAGAGAGCTTCGGGGGGAATGGAGTCTTCTCCATCCTCTGGGGTGAGGCCATTGCAAAGGAGTACATGGCACAGGGAAATTTGGGGAAGGCTTCCTCCCCTAGGTAAGGCATGATGTAGGTTTCCTGTGACTTGAGTAGACCAGTTCTAAGAACAACTCCGCCGTAACATCAAGAGCACAGCATTCCGTCTAAAAGCACACACATGCGCTTCAGTCGTATTCCAAATGCTTCCTATTGATTTTTCCACAAGTCCTCATGATTTGCAGCTCTATTGCTCATTGTTATAATTCTCTACAGAGAGGGACAGGTAACAGTTAAAGTGATCTATGTTTGTATTTTACAAGGTGCGTGTAGTACAAAAGTTAGTTTTACAGAATGTAAGGACATCCTACTTTCAGTGCGTTTCACGTGTTTTTCAGCTAGACGATGACGGATTTCATGGGCAGCATGTGAAACACATTTTAGTAGTGCAGAAGGTGCATGGGGATCAGGGCTGTCACAGCTCGTTGACCTCGGTCAGCGTATCTGTGGCGATGACATTTCATGGCATCTGACCCTTATTTTCTCCAGTGATTAAAGACAGTTCAGCAACCAGTTGCTACTCGCACTTGCTTATCGAGAGCTTTAAGTGAGGCTAAAATGAAACTCTTCTATTCACTGGTAGAAATACCACCGCTAGAAATGTCATCGACTTTCCCAAGAAAGTCAATGGAGGCGTCAGCTAGTGAGCATGTGTATGTGTACTTTGCATAACGTTAATGCTAAAACACAAAATAGATAGTAAAGTATCCTTTTTGCCGGAATTTTTACAAATGAGATATATATCTACACACACATTTCACTCCTTCAAGACTGTTAGGTGAAGAATAAAACTAAAAAAAAAAAAAAATAAGGAAATTGAAAAAACCCACTGACTTTTATTTGTGAAGTTTTCTCTCTCACCAGTCAATGGATAACATTTTCAACAACGGTGTGTACAGCATCCTTTTGGTCATTGTCTTCGGAATCAACGAAATGGGGATTCTCCAGGAAATGGGCTTTTTCGTGACCGGGGTCCCCTTCGACGGTCTCCTGCTGGCTTGAGCTTCGGAATAAGTGTTTCTTTTGGTGCATTCCCAGGGCAGCGGCTGTTTTGCAGATTTTGGGGCACTGGAAGCAGGCGTGGCCCTTCCCGCTGTGCTGCCGCACGTGCCTCTGCTCGTGGTTCCTTTTGGTGGAGAGGTACAGGAAGCTCTGTAAGCAGAACTGGCAGTGGTAACGCTTTTCGCCGGTGTGGATTCGCTCGTGGATTTTGAGGGTCTCATTGAGCGTGAAAGCCTTGCTGCAGTACTGGCAGATGAACTCCTTCAGGCCCAGGTGGATGCGCTCGTGCTTCTGCAGGTTCCCGTGCACAGAGAAGCAGCGCCCGCAGGTCTTGCACTGGAAAGGCTTCTCGCCCGTGTGGCAGCGCATGTGCATTTTGAGCGTGGACGGGCTCTGGAACTGCTTGGCACAGAGCTCACAGGTGTAAGGCCTGGAGATGAGGTGGCGGTGGGGCCGGCCCAGGCTCCCCTCCGCGGAGCCCTGGTCTTCCTCGCAGAGCTCACACTGCAGCCTGGGCATCTCTTTGTTGTCATCCTCCTCGAACGCCCTGTCTGCCGCGGCCTTCCCCACGGCACAGTCCAACTCCGCTGGGTACTCGCATTTATGGTTTGGGCTCCTACTCCCCTGCTCTTTCTTCCAGCTCACTTTTCTCATCTTCCGAAGCTGTCTGGACTTCTTTTTAGGCTTGTAGTTGTAGTAAGGGCGCCACGGCTTGTCCGTGGAATCCTGGTCACTGGCATCGTCGAACATTTCGCTCATCTCCACACACTCCGACTGGCAAAGCTCCAGTGGGCTGTCCCCATTGGTGTCGGGGTCGCCGTCCTGGGGCAGACTTTCCTCCGGCGTTTGCAATTTGGGTCTTCTCCCTCTTTTATAGAACAACTTGGACCCTAGGATGTGTCTTTTCACAATGGCCTCATTCCCGATTTTCACGGTGATCTGGCAGAGCGGGGCCACGTTGCTGTTGGTGGAGGTTCCCGGCAGGGCGGGCTTGGCGATGTACGTCTCGATTTTACTGGTTTCTTCCACGGCATTTGTGGTTTTGCTCAAGGAACCCCCGGGGATGGCCACCTGTTTGGATTCCTCTGGCACGGCTCCCTTGTGATGCAGTGGGCTTTTCTTCTTCTCCTTCAGGCTTTTGGGTCTACTCGCAGCCCTACTCCCTTTCTCGGGCTCGGGCCTGCCCGTCTCTCCTGGGGCCTGGCCCGCAGCTGGCTCGGCGGGGGCGCCGGGGGCGGTGGCTGGCATGGCGGCGGCGTGGCTGTGTACGATCACCGAGGAGAACTGGCTGCTGTGCACGATCACCGAGGGGGCGGGGGCGGGCCCCCCGTAGCTGATCACAGACGCAGCGTGCTCACTGCTCACAGGCAAAACGGGTGCTTCCCCTGCGGGCGGGGTAGAACGGACAGCGTTTTCCGTGGAGGAAATGGGCACTGCAGTGGAACAGAGGTTACCGCCAAGGTTGGCTTCCTCTCCCCACTTGGGGCCCTCGGCGCTCTGGCCGTTGGCGGAAGTGGGGGTGTCCTGAGAGACGGGCGCTCCGGGCGGGCGGGCGGGGCTGCTGGTCAGGGCGCTGACCCCGTCCGGGAAGCTCAGGGTGGGGAGCTGGGAGGGATGTGGGTTCTGGATGACATAGGCGCCCGAGGCCGACTCGCTCATCTGGCTGTTCTCGCGGGTGCTTTCGAAGGAGGAATGCCGGTAACTCTTATAAGGCGCCCTCTTGCATTTCATTGGCAGTAGCCGGTAAAGCTTATAGGGGTAGACGCTAGGCTTGAGGCCCCCATTGGCTGTCTTCTTGCTGATGGAAAGCCTGTGATCTATGGCGTGAAACGACTTCTGATGGTTTTTGAGTATGTAGTAGGTCATGAAGGTTTCGAGGCAGAAAATGCACTGGTACCGTCTTTCTCCCGTGTGCCAAATTTCATGCCTTGTCCTGTACTCGGCCAACGCAAACACCTTGTTGCAGTAATGGCAGGGGTATGTTCGTCTCCAGGAGTGAACGTTTGCGTGTCTCCGGAGGCTGGACAGAGTCACGTAACTACGTTTGCACACCACGCAACTGTAGAGCATTTGCCCATTAATCACTTTAACCAAGTGGTCCATTTCTGGTAAGCTACTTCTGGTACTAGAAAATTCGCCGAGCCTGTTTTCAGACAGCACTGTGTCTGGGCCTGTGAACGAGGCTCCGTTTTGCCCAATGGTGGGGTAGTTTTCTAAGAAGGGTGGGTTCCCCCCGGGGACGGCCCGCATGCAGATCTGCTCGTGCCGGCCCAGCCGATTGAGGGTGGTGAATTGCTTGTTGCAGTGCCCGCATGCCAACGGCTCCTGCGTCGGCTTGTGCAGCTGCATGTGTGCACCGAGCAGGGCGCTGCTGTCAAAGGATTTGGAGCAGCTGCTACAGTTGTAAACCAGAGGGGGGACCTCAGCTCGCAGCGGCCCAGGAATCTCCGAGGGTCTGTGGTCATTGTCCCTGGGGCAGAGGGCATCTCCTTCGTGGTTGGGGGCTTGTGAATTAGGAAGAACCGCAGCCGGCCGGGGGCTGCTTTCTCCACTCGCCTCCAAGCTGCTGCCTGGAGTGGGGGTTCCATTTTCGGCGGCTGGGTCAGTATCCTGGGCTGCGGCCAGCGGCTTGGGCTTCCGGCTGGGTTTCGGCTTGGCGGCCGGGCCTTGGCTGCCGTCGTCTTTGCCCCGGGGGCCTGGCGAGCGGCTCTCGCGCTCCCTCGCCGCCGCCGCCGCGGGGCCGGCGGGCTGGCTGCGATAGGCCTCGGCGGCCGAGGGCACGGCGTAGGAGTGCTCGGCCAGCGTGCGCACGGGCTCCGCCTCCCGGCAGCCGGCCGGCCGCTCCAGGCCCAGCGCCCCTGCGCGCATGGAGTCCGAGACCTTTTTGAAACTGGCCCTCAAGTCCAGGGGAGAAAACATGCTGTTGCTATTTTCCGTTTCCACGATGGAGAATGCATTTGTGATCCTGGGCCCGTTGGTGACGGCTGGCTCTTCGAGCCGCTTCTCATTTTTCTCTTCTTTGACCACGCCCTTCTCGGTAATGCAGAAGACGTAGGGGCCCGGCGAATTCCCGAAGTTGCGATTGCTAAGATCTTCCAAGAAGGAGATTCCCAGCCGTTTCCCTGCAGCTGCAAGATCCGTGACGGTCTCCTGTCTCTTGACGACGACGGTGGAGCTGTAGATGTAATTAAGTATTTCAGTAAACACTTCGGCCTTGAGATCATCCAGCTCCAGGACGTGGCTGGAAATGCAGATGGTATGGCCCCAGAAAATATTTTTAAAATAGAGGCTGGACGCAGCCAGGACGTTGCTGTGGGCTTTAAACTTGGTGTCTTCCACAATGATGGTGACATCGCATAAAATGCCCCGAATGCGCTGCTCGTTTAAGATGGAGAGCACTGTGTCACTGTGAAAGTCGTCCTTGAGGTCCCTGGAGAGGGACATGACTGTCATCTGCAACAAGAGGAGAGAAGCCGTCAGAGGCCCTGCCACACTGGCTTCTTTATTGATCTTCAGTAAAGTCTAAAAAAATTATTTTTATTGTCTTATATGGAAATACAGGTTTATCTCACCCATTGTTGCTCTCAGAGCTTGGCATCAACATTAGGACTGAAGTCTTTTTCTTACCACCTGCACTAATAGTTGATTTAACTGAAACCCACCCCCCCACCCCCCAGTACTCTTTCCCTTCATTCCTGCAGCATTCTAGCTCTGTCCTTACACCACAAACAAATAATTCACTGCCATTGAGTCAGTTCTGAAACACACTGACTATATAGGGCAAGGTAGAACTGCCCCTGTGGGTTTCTGAGACTATAACTCTTTTGGGGGTAAAAATATCTTTCTCTTACCCATCCATGCGTACTGGTCCACATTTGGTGTAAGAAATTTCCTGTGCCTAAAATGATCATTCAGCCTTGTCATCATTCAGAACTGCTTCACTAGACCCTGGAAGTGAGGCGAGACCGTGGCCCTGTTACAAGCCTCCTATCTTATTTTCAAAGAGAACAATTATGATCTGATCCAAGCATAATTCATGAAGCAAGAAAATGATTTTTTTAAAGGAGCTTTCTCTAAGTGGTACCTGTGAGGCCACACCTGGAAAAGCCATCCCTAATTCTTGGCTCTGAAGGGTCCCACACTGCCCTGCGGGGCTTCTCACATCTCCACATGACCAGGGGGGCCTCTGAGGTCACTCTGTCCTCTCTGTGTTACTGATCTGTGGAGGGACCAATACAATTTATTTTCAGATTTCTTCATTATCTTAGGCAAAGTAGACTACAGGCTTTACAAAAGGCCTCCGTGAGGTTCTGAAGGCCAACAAAAAGGAAATAAAACATGAAACCAGGAGAGACTGCTTCTAAGTGTACACTAGTGAGCCTAGTCACAGCTTCCAACATGAGCACAATTTATAGGCTTAATGGCTCTTGCTCTGCCCTGAAAAATCCCACCACTGTTTCTTCCAGTGCTTGTTGGGGGACAGTGTCCTATGCCATGGGGTTTCTCCCTATCTGATGTTCGAGTGAGGAATCCTTAAAAGGAGTGGTTTTCCCACTGGGGAAAGTAGTATGGCACATCCTCAACAAGTTGGAAATAGAAAGACCATGTGACCCAGCCATTCACTTACATTGTAGAGATCCCAGAGCAGTTAGAAGTGAGCTACAAATAGAGACTGTGCACCCCTGTGTTCCTCCCAGTCCTATTCACCACAGCCAACGGTGGAAACCCTTACCATGCCCATCAGTGGACGGATGGACCCATACACTTAATCACATACACATATGGCATACCCACATGAACGAATACTGATGAATCTGCAGAACACCTCTTCTTCTGGATGAACCCGGAGAACACTATGCTGAGTGAAACTAGCCAATCACAACAAGACAAATATTGCATGAAACTTCTATTATAAAAAGTCAAGAAAAGGTTCTTACACTAAAAGAAATACTCTCTGATGGTTACTAGAAGCGAGAGGGGAAGAGACAGAGGGGAAATCATAGATATGTATTAACTTGGGCAAAGGGGAAGGCAATATATACTAAAGAGGAGGTTAGGAGAAAATGATGGAGGCAGGGGAAAAAACCAGGAGAAGTGTAAGAGTTAAAGACAACAGCTGTAAATACTATTACAGACACAATCCGACAACAGCGGTGATCTCTGATGTCTGAATAGGGGTGGTAGGCAGAATGGGAATATACCCACAACACAGGTTTGACAGAGGGTATTTATGTATATATATTTTGCTGCAAATGTATCCTTGAATGTGGTAGAAAACTTCTCAGACATACCCAATGAGTTCCTGAGCTCACAGAGACAATGTTCTGCATCCTACGTTGGTGAGTAGTGAATGGAGTCAGAAAAGCTGTGAGCAGTCATCTAAGGTACGAATAGTGCTCTCTCCCTGACTAGAGGAAAGAAAGTGATGACAATCGAAAGACACATGAAAACAATCAGTCCAATGGAGCATGCAAACTCGGACCCAGAAGAACTAGACGGCGCTTTGGCCACACTACCACCTGCTCCGAAGAGGATCATGCTAGAAGGCCCTGGATCAAGTGGGAGAAGACTAGACCTCAAGGTCATAAAAGAGCCTGGGCAGAGACTGGTTGGACAGAGACTGGTGGGGCCCTTGAGCCCTTAGTCAGCTTTCAGGTCTGGAACTGAACTTACCCCGTGGTAAATAATCAACCATTTAAGAGGAAAAGGGCAGCATTTCCCCAAGGACAGAAGGCTTGGAAAGGAGGAGGAATGGAAACCAGAAACAGGCGGGGAACAGAGTAAGTGGTGGTACAGGAAACAGAACTCATAAAATGCTGAATGTAAAACTGATGGTCTGCTCTGCAAACCCTTACCTAAATCATAAAAAGTTTACAAAGAGATACAGTTAGACCTAGAACAAAATGTTAAACCAAACCAAACCAAACAGTGGTTTTATGCTCACAGTAGAAATACATCATCTTTAGTAACCAAAGATACAAAAGAAGTGAATGTTTTACCTTTGCTAGGTGTATTACTTTATTCTTTTTTGAAAAAGTATAAAAGTAACTTGCTAAACAAATCTCATATCCACCGACAATGGTAATGTCTTAGTACTGGTGGGCAATCTGTAATTTGTGGCATTTATTCAGGCAGGGCAGCCAGATGGTCACATAAAGAACCTCTCCTCACCATTTGTAAGACTGTCCTTAGAAGTTATGTCCCTTAATACTGCTTAGCTTCTTTTATACCACTGACCCTTGAAGAGTGCAGGTCAACCTCTCACACGCAGACTGTCTGTGCTTAACTTACAGTTGGCCCTGAACAACACAGGCGTGACCATAAAGGCCCACTCGATTTCCACCACCCTGCTGTTCCTGTGGTGATTTCAATCAAGTGTTGCTGGTCTCTGCTTAAACTGCTGTAACAAGAGTCATCTCCATGGAAAGTGCTGGGAGTTTAAGTAACACTCTCATAACAGGAGCGACAGACTGCTCCCGCGCTGATGATTTTAAAGTGGACACTCCCAACATATGAGCTCACCACACCAGCAACAGGGGAAGAAATCCACAAGTCAAACGCATGTTGTCCAGGGGCCGCTGTTCAAGGATCCATTTGAATTCTTTGCATTCAGTCATTGGTCAAAAAAATACATTTCTACTAACAAATCCATTCATTTGCAGGCAGTGAGAATGATTATTTAACTTGTTTTTCTTCTCATTCTCAAGACAAGGAAACTAAAGCCTTAAAAAAAAAGACTTTGATCATCCATTGTAGCCATTCTGAGCCTGAATTTCTGGTGTAACTACTGTCTCAACTTCTTCCCATTAGTTCTTCTCCTTTTGTTTTCCTTTAAAAAAAATTATTATTTTGAGTTGTAATATGCTATCACTTCAAAAATCCACTTCAGTAAAACATCCCAATGTATGATGACTAAACAATAAAAAAGTAAGTCATCAATGTTTGATTCATAGTATAGAGTACACAATAAATTATATTTACATGCAATGACTAGATTAGCACATATGGTAAAAAATATAGTATTTTATGCATACTTTTAAAAGATTTACATTGTCATATATATTTTATAAAGTTAAAAATTTTCTATACAGAATCTAATGTGTTATATAGAGTTCATGTATCCCCATTCTTATGAATGAACCACATACACAGATATGCTTAAAACTATAATACTACACTTTATCTGTTCTTACTTCATATTCAATTTTGGTATCCATATACTAATACCATTATTTCTAAAATGTAAATAATAAAGGAAGTAAAAATGCAACCATGCAGACATTTTTAATATCAGAAAATTAAATGTTATACTAGGTCAACATTTATCAAGTCCATGGTTACCTAATTCTATTCAACTTCCTGCACTGCTTTTGTACAGATGCATGCAAAACTAGCAGATTCTGGGCTGTTTTATGAACACATTAAAATAATTCTATAGTCTGACAATACTTAGGCATTCGGAATGCAACTGTCTAACAGTCCTAACCTGTCAACTATTTCTGCTTTAGCAGAAACATCTATGACATTACATACTAAAATTAACAGAAATATAGATTATAATTCCTAAACTTAGAGGGTCTGCATCAGTACACACTGACTATTTAGAAAAACAACAAAAAGGTGTTTAAAATTGAAGAGTATTTTATCTGTTGAGAAGGGGGTTGAGGAAGATCTAAGATAAACCACTAGAGGGTTATCCATTGATTGTCCCTGCTGAGGAAGTATTTGCACATTCCCAATCTGTTTAAATAAAAACACCTGAAGATTTTATTTTAAAAGTTTAAGATAACTTACACTATTAATTTAAAAAAATTATCTTTAAAAGTAGTAAATTGAAGTTAACTGCCCTTTCCCTCCTCCCCTAAATAACTACAGATTAATGAGAAAAATAAAGTACCAACATCCCCAGTATTTTCAATCACTGAAGAGGCACGAATCCATTTGATGGTTTAGGATTAAATATGAAAATAGGCCAGGTCTGATCTGAGTGATAATAAATAGAAGGTAGGTATTCCATTCCTATCTAGATGGGGTGGACCAGAATCCCTCCCCATTCATTGCTTTGAAACGTGTAAATTCTGACAGAACAATTAGATTTCTAAGATGGAAAGCACGGTGTCTGTGCCACTTTGAAGCTGAAGAAGCAGGTGCATTCTTGATCCCTGGGGGAGAGCTGCTGGGGCTCTTTTCTCCACACCACCTGTTTTCCCCAGGGCCCTCACTCTCACTTTCATCCAAACAAGCCCCTCTGCTGTTGTTGGCAACACAGGGACATTGTAGTAGTAGCTGTGGTTGCTCTGGGCTGTGCACCGTGAAAGGAACCCAGCTAGCTTCTTGTGATCTGGTTTGTGGCATTCAGGAGAACATCATTCAGCGAGGCATGTAGAAACCAACTCCTTCCAGTAAAAGAACACGGTGTCATTAACTTTGGAATGTTGTTTTTAACAAGTAGA